GGCCAGCCCCAGCTATTGTAGGTATTTGGAGAGTGAACCAGTGGATGGGAGATCGCCCTGTCTTTCCCTGACACCAACCCACCGTCGCTCTGCCTTCTACTTAATTAGTTAATTAAAGTACCTTCAGTTATTTGGCTTCTCTCAGTTCCCCCAGATTCCGCAGCTCAGTCTGTTAAATTCCCCAGACACTGGAGCAGCGCTCGTACAAACCTCAGACCCTGAAGCGGGAGCCCAGCACCTCCCACCTCGTCTCCTCAGCACACACTTGGGAGCCCGTCGTTAGCTGCATCACGGAGGCCAGAGCCCTCTGAGCAGACTCCTCGGTCCCCTGGACAGGGTGGACTTTGGCTCTCCCAGCTCTGCTTACACCCCAGGCATTCTGGGAGAAGTCCCCCAGGCCTGCCTCCAGCAACACAAGGCCTGTGCTGCAGCAAAGACTGGAAAATGCGAGAACTTGTGCAAACATGAGTGGTTTGGAAGAGGGGAAGGTAGATCTTTGTGACAACACTGGTTCTTGAACTCTGTGCTCCCGAAGTCTGGAGTTCCCTTTTTTTCTCTTGTTTGTAGAGTAGATACTGCCGTGGAGGGCCCTCTCCTTGGTGGCTGTCTCCACCTAACACAGGGGCTGTGACGGGCAGGATTGTGCTGCACCTGCCAGCACCCAGGAGACGAGTCCCTGCCTTGCTTTTCTTAACAGAGGCGCCCTTCTGGCTGGCGTCGGTGTATGGACGGGCAGCGTGAGGCCATTCTGAGTGTTATCTTTGTCAGCAAGCATACTCGGAGGGTTCTGAGTGTGTGTCCCAGTCCATCCGAGGCTCTGTGTCTGGATTTCCACACATCCCGTACATTGGCCACCTCACCCTGGGGGCACTCACGTCGTTTGCGTGGCCAAGAACTAACCTCACGCACTGCCTTCCACCCACACGCTTGCTTCATCTCCTGCATTTTTTATGTCCGCTAACAGCTTCTTGTTCTCTTTAAAAACAGCAAGTCACACGCTTTACGCTGGGACTCGCCGTGCGCAGGTCCACACGGACAGAGGGAACAGGGGTTTGTCTCACAAGACCGGACGCGTCTCTACCTTGTGCACCTCCCTCCGATGTGTTCCTTTCCTCTCTCATCCTTTGCAAATGACTTCCCCCTCCCTGCTCCTTTGCCATCCGCCTCTTACTCCAGCCAGCACTTCTCACGTGCTCCGTGGAAGGTGGAGGGACAGGCTCGGGCTCTGCCCTCAGGTGCCCCTGTCTACTTTCTCAGGGAATTGTACGCGCCCCTGAATGGCCCAAGTAGCCCACAGTTTGAGAAAACCAGGAACAGAGAGGAGACGCAGGCTCTTGGATTCAGCACCTGTCCTCGGCTTCCCACGCCATAATTCAGCTTTTGTCCAGTCAGGTGAACTTCACCAGGTGATCCAGACACATTCATGCATTCCATTAATCATTCATTCATTCATTCAGCGAGGCAGTCCACATTTACCCAGCGCGCTTCTGCTGTCAGACACGCCGTAGGCCCTGTGGGTGTGAAGATACACATCCTGTTGTCCACTCTGAGGTCCGTGGTCCAGTGGGAGAGGCAGATGACAACCAGGCAGTGCTGAAGTCCAGTAAACAGACACACAAAGCACGCAGAGCCCAAGGAAGCAGAGTCCAGAAAGTTTCAGGAACCGGTGACGCTGGAGCTGAATCTGGAGAGATGTGAGGGTGCTGCGGCCACGTCAGGGGCAGGTCCTTGAGAGGAGGAAACCCCCGTGGGAAGGGTGAGAAGGCACTGGGCGGGCACAGCCCTGCAGTGTGTGGAACTCCTCACACCCAAAGGCTCGGCTGCCACTCCCTCCCCTTCTGTACCTGGACATGGTGTCTCTACCGCCCACCTCGGGGCTCGCTCCTGGCACCCCACCAGTCCCAGGCTCATCACCGCCCCTGTTCTCCTGCCTCCCTAAACCAGCAGCGCACCTCAAAGCAGAGCCCACATCCTGAGGACGTGGTGTCAGCCTGATGATCGCCACAGGGAGGGGGATAGGTCAGGCGCATGGGTGCAAGGTGACGCTGCCGGGTGAACCTGCTAAATTCACTGTGTCCCCTGTGGGTTCACGCGTGTGGAGGCCACACTCTGCATAGGGATGGCGTGGCGCATGCAGTTCTTTCTTCACTGTTTTACTTGCGAAATACTAGTTTTGACTTAGAAAGAAAGACTCTCTCTCCAACTTAAAAGTGTCTCATTAGTGGAATTTTTTTGCCTATGAAAACAAATGGTACTCTGGCGGCAGAGACACCTCGCGCTCCCTTTCCCTGGCGCACAGGCTGCCAGGCCATCGTTGCTAATCGTTCATTTAACTCAGACCGCCCCTTCCAAAAAGGCTTTTACAGGAAACAGAATCAATTTTTAATTCTTCTTTCTCCTTTGCCAACTTTCTATCCACTTTGCGTTTCCTGTGCAAAGTGGTCCAGGGTTGCGGGCAGGAGAAGAATTTGAGGTCTGGAATCTCAATAGTCAACTCTAATTGAAACAAAAGTCGTATGTGCTTTTCCTGGTAGCTTTTATGAGACCAATTCCCCCGAAACCCAGCCCTGGAGATGGGTGGGGATAATGCCCAGGAAAGAGCTTGGTGCACGCAGGCGTTGTGGGAGCAGGGACAGCCCAGTTAACAGTGGTGTTTTTATTAGGAGCAAGAGAGCAGGGGTCAAGTTCCGGCTAGACTTTTCACTGTTTATAAAACATTCCGAGGGTCTGCCTCCCCTCGCCTGTAACCTGTCCCTGTGTCCAGGAGGTGATTCTGAGCTGAAATGCTACAGTTATTTCCATGGAATCTCTTTGTCTTTCATGCAAAATTCAGTGTGAGAAGTGGAGCATTCCCAGAGGAGCTGTGTGTGCTGCCCAGAAACCTGATTGTGTCCTTCTCTGGAAAGAATGCTTGGAATGATTGAGAAGGAAGGGGCAGTGCCTTGTGCGCAGAGACTGCTAGTGCAGTCGTCCGTGTCAGAGACAAGGACTTGCTCTCTTTCCCTGTCCGACAACTCTTCTGCCTCCCCGCCTATCTCCTTCCCTCTCCTACCCAACCCATCCTAGTGCAACCTCGCTTGGGTCCGTCTAGCTGTTATTGTTACTGTTAACACGTACTTGCACAGTTGACCAATTAGGAAGTCAGAAGAACACTGTTACCTCATTTGCTGATTGCAGACTCAGCGTCGGTGCAGAACATAGTGACACACATTGCCCCCTCAGTCCCCTGATTAAAGCACCCACTGTGTGTGCCACCTTTTGACCCCTGCTACCCCAGTGCATCAGTAGTCAGGGCTCGGCGATGCCTTTTGCCCAGCAGAGCAGCACTGTGGGGAGCAACTGGGAGCAACTCGGACTAGACTAAGTTACTGGAATTAAGACTTACTCTATGCATCTGCTCTCCCACAATATGGCGCTGGGAGAGGAGGCAACAGCTTCTACCCAGCTGCCTCTCACCAACTTGACAAGCTGCAGGAGCTGCTCCTGATTGGAGGAGAGCAGCGTACTCGGTGTGTGGGTAGCAGAGTTGGGATTGGCGTAAGAGGACTATAAAGGAGGAGAGAGACACCATGCACCAGGAACATCTAGGGGGAACATCTGAGGGAACACCTGTGCAGCCCCCGAGAGACCCGGCCGGCGGTGTGCTGCTCCCCCGCAGAAGTGGGGAATGTGGCAGGGGGAACCGCCCTTCCACGGAGGTGGAAGGGTCGGTAGCCAACCCGGGAAGAACTAGCAGCAAACCCGGGGAGGGCCGAGCAGACGAAAGAACAACGCAGGGTCCTGTGTCGTTCCTCCACGAAGACGGGGAGTGACACAGCACCTGCTAATCCTCAGGTGCCTGTGCTCCGTCTCCTCACAGTAGTGCCTGCCCTCCCTCCTCCTCCTCTGCCAACCTCTGGCTGCTTCTCCTGCTATCTCCCTGTTTGCCCGTCATAGTTTGAATGACAGCATCTGGCACTGACCCCCTTGAACTTGGAGTCAGCATGGGAAAAGTGCGTGGTTTAGGTTCTTCCATGTGGTGGGCGCCTCCCTGACCTGACCCAGTTCTCTGTGGGTGCATGGGTGTTTTGAGTAACATCTGGTATTTAGAGTGCTTACTGCAAGCAGGTGCTGTTCACACAGACGAGGTGCTGTCATTCTTGCCCACTTTACGAGTGTAGATATTGGGGCTTGGGGATGTTATGTCATGCCCAGGGTTACACTAGGTAAGTTAAAGAGCAAGGACTGAACCCAAGGGGACTGCCATCAGCATCCGGGCTCCAGCCCTTCCAGTGTGGTGTTCTCGGTCAGTAGCTGATCACAATGGTTAAGTGTAAGAGCAGTGGCACAAGGGACTGAAAATTCAGAGGAACTGTGCCCTGTTGGGTGTGGGCTTGGATGATCCTCAACTCCTTCCTCCAGCTCCAACACCGCGGTGGTGGAAAACACAGAGGGGGAAGAGAGGTAGAAGTCTGGAAAGGAAAAGGACAGCGTCTCAGGATGACAGGGAGTTGGCAAAGAAGAATCTGTAAGTCACATAGTGAGAGATTTTGGCTGCCGTGGGAGAATCCGAGCGTGCTAAGCTGTTGAGCGCGCTTCCTCAGACCAGAGCGTGGGGATGCAATGGTACCATTGTCAGGACTTGAGTGATGGCTGTGTGACAGTGAGTGAAGGGCAGAGGCTTGTGGGAGGATATGGAGGGACGCATGGCGCACGTGTTGCGTTAGCTCTGTGAGACCACAGTTCACCACTCAGTTCCTTAGCCTGCTTGTTAAATTTGGACTTGACAGAACAGAGCAGATTTAACTTGTCTCACCGTGTTTAGCTGTGGGACACAGAGATTCATCCTGGGTGGCTCTTTAGGTGGATCTGTTTTTGCTGAAATAAAATCTCTGGCACATAATAATGGAAAAAAGAAATCTGGAGTTTCATTACATACAGTGAACTGTTTTCTACACCTGAGGCTTCTGAGTGCTTCAGAAATAATAAGTCTGTTTCCACCATTTCCTGCTCCCCACCAGGTTCTTGGAACCCCAAACGAGGACACGTGGCCTGGAGTCCATTCTTTGCCGCATTTTAAGCCAGGTATGTTTCACTGACTACAAATCGCCTGTACGCAAGGGTGGATGCACAGATGTCCCACTCGAGTCACACACTGCCTGGGGAGACCCTGGCTACTTGTGCCACTGTGTATCGCATCCATGTGTGGAGCTGCCCTTTCCATTTTCACAGTTCATTCGTGAGTCAGTAAGACAGACTCACTGACATCCCTCCAAGACGGTGTCACCATATCTACTTGGATTTGACTGCTCATGCAGGAATTCTGTTTCGTCATCAGTTAGCCTAGCATCCACGTCTGTCACGGATGATAAATTGGGGTACTACAATCTGTGTCATGTTGGATAATAATATACTAGGAAAAGTTTCAAATTGTAAAAAAAGGAAACATCACATTTTATTGGAGTTTGTACAGTGTTTGATACTTTTTAATGTAAAATATGTAAACCTCTAAATTGGAAATCTGAGAGAAAACGTGAAACTTTAAAAATATGTTGTCACTTTCCACATCACCAGCAGGTGGCAGTCATGAAACTTTCGGTTTCAATAATTACACTTAAAATCTCAAACTCGCCTGGTTTAGTTTTATTAGGAGGAGTGGAAGGTTAGCAATCGGAAATTCAGTAAATAAAATGAGAGGAGTGAATTAAACATAAAATAATTCTCTTGTTGGTCGCTGGGTTCTTTTCTCAGTTACAAAACATAGTTTATGAAATGCAGGCCTACAATTACTACAATTACTGGAAGGGATTTTCTGGAAGATCTGGTGGCCCATTATCCTAGAGGGAAGGTGCCGGAATATTCTTTTGGTCCTCCTCCCCTCTGTTGGGGCACCATCAGGAATAAATTATCAAGTCTAAAGAATGGCTGGGTTGGGGAGATTATTTTTATTCTTAATATTTTTCTTCTGAAAGTGTGCAGTGTGCTGAGCATTCTTTTATCTTCTTCAGCTGCCCCAAAGACTCTTTGTACTTTCACCAAAAATTCTCAATGACTTCTATGTTCCAAAAGACTGTAAGAACTTAACAGTTTAAGAGGGGTTCCTCTTTATTTATTTACTTTTTAACCAAACAAGAAGAATCCCCTAATGGGTCTACTTGTTCCTAATAAAGTCTCAGTGAAGAGCACAGCACTTTATAAATATTGCAGTTGTTAGCTTTTAAAGAAGGTTAGCTTCCCCATGTTTGGACCTAACATTTTAAGACCTGGTGAAATAGAACAGGAGAATTTAAAGACGGTTTTTAATGAATCGAGTTAGATGCAGAAAGGAACAATTTAGATAGACATTTGGCCTGCCAAGTTTCTGGACTAGACACCATGGGGTAATTTGTTACTTTTTTTTTTTAAAGAATTATTTATTTATTTGAGAGGTATAGTTACAGACAGAGGGAGAGATAGAGAGAAAGGTCTTCTATCCACTTGCTCACTCCCCAAATGGCCACAACCACTGGAGCTAGGCAGATCCGAAGCCAGGAGCCAGGAGCTTCTTCTGGATCTCCTACGTGGGTGCAGGGGCCCAAGTACTTGGATTATCTTCCACTGCTTTCCCAGGCCATAAGCAGAGAGCTGGATCAGAAGACAAGCAGCCGCAACATGAACCAGTGCCCATATGGGATGCCAGTATGGCAGGCGGAGGCTTAGTCCATTACGCCATGGCGCTGGGCCCAGTGTGTTGATTTTAATGTGACTAGAACTTACCTTTATCACTCACATACAAAAGCATTTATTAAATGTGTTCTGGGAAGTACTGCAATGCAGTGCTCAAGCGAAGAGATTGTGAACCCCTTGTGACCTAGGACTGTGTGTACATCATACACATTTGGTGTTCAATAAACGTCTGGTGCTCTAAGTTATATTGGATGTTGAAACTGGACTACTTATGTGACTCCTCAGCTGGACGCACACAGATTGGAACCTGGTGTGATTCATTATGTGTCACTGCCACAGCAGATGTGCAATGCGCAGAAGGCGTGGGGTTGTAGAAGAACACACTTAGATGGTGTGGAGCTGCAGATAGCAAGAGATGTCACGGGCAGAGCCTGGCACTGGTGGATCCCAGTGGCTGTGACAAGTGCTTGCAGAGCTGGCTTGGTGGGGCTGCTGGGATGAGACAAGAGACTGAGGCGAAGGAAGCTGCTCCGGGAGTGCCAGTGGTGCTTAAATGGAGCACCCAGCTCCTAGCAGAGCCTGAGTCTGTGACTCCTGGACCTCATAAGCCAGGGAAGGGAGACACACATCCCCATGGGAGGCAAAGAACAGTGCTAGGGCCCACCTGCCTCCTCCCACCTCCATGTTCTGCCCAGACAGTGCCTTAGAAAGTCTCAGGGAGGGAGCAGTCTGAACCATAAAGACAGACTTTGTACAATTCTTTAGTAGCGAATAAACTTAAACAGTCCCAAAATTCAAGCCAAATGAAAAGGAGCATGCTACAAAGCTTTCCCCCACCTCTGCTCCCTATCTGCCCCCTCCCCAGATCCCCAGTTTGTTACTTTCTTATGTTTCTGGCCTTTCTGTCAACATAAGAAATCACAGGTGTACGTATTTTGATTGTTTCCTCGTTGAACACAATTCTGTATTTTGTTTTCCTCATGAATGCATCTTGCAGGCCTGCTCGTGTCACTTCACAAAGGAGGCCACTGCGGCTTCCGTCTCGTGTCTTGGAACTGCATTCTGTGTTGTGTGGATTCAGTCTGTCCCCTATCCAGGAACATCTGGGTTGCTTCCAGTGTTTGGTTTCTATAAACATTAATGGCAAGAGTAACCTCGTACATAGGTAGACACGTACACCTGGCATGGACGCAAGTATATCTGACGGATAATTTAGGGGAGATGGAGCTAAAGAATCTGGACATGCAGTGATTTATAATTTTGAGGACTGCATTGTCCAAGGGGGTTGGTGCCCATCGCTCTGTCACCAGCAACGCGGACCGTACTGCCTCGCCCCTCTACAGCGCGTGGCCAGACTTGGATTTTGCCAGTTAGATGACAGAAGAAAGCTCAGTGCAGTTTAAATTTGCTCTTTTTTACCATGCGGTTGAGGTGTTTTCACATTGTTCCAGGTTGCTTGCATTTGCTTTTCTGTGAACTGTTTGTGTTTTTCGCCAACTGCTTTATCTTCGGTGTACAGTAGAATTGTGTATTATTTCCTTGTCAATTGCTAGGAATTCTTTTTATTTTACAGGAAGTATTCCTTTACACATGAAACACTTTCACTTGTCTGGGATTTCTTCAAATGATCTTTTGACATTTTCAAGTGAAAGTAGTCCTCACCCTTATGTCTCCTTTACTTGCCTAACTGAATGCATTTTGCCTCAAGAAGAAAACCCCTTGGTGTTTTCAAAAGAGTGTAGTTCCTGCTTTAGATAAACTTGTATATATAAATTTTGCTACGTATATCTGTCTAAGAAAACACAATTCAGTTTCCAAGTGGATTGTTTTATGATTATGATCCTGAATCTAAAATGGTGAATCTCTGTTTTAACATATTCTAATTAGCAAACAGCTATTTTGAAATTAACTTATGTTTATATTGAATTTCTATGGAATAAGTTAAATTAGTTTATTCAACCGTCTTTGTTGAGCACCACCTGCGTGTCTAGGGACTGGGAAGGTTTCATTGAACACAGAAGATCCCTCTCAGGCGAGACACAGAGTAAGTAAGCTACACAGCTTATCACAGAGCAAGTAACCTATGCGTGTGTCAGAGCGAGCAGACAGTATAGACCGTCACGGAGCGAGTAAGCGGGTAGTGTATCAGGCGGTAGGGAGGACCGTAGAAGAGGAGCGTGCAGGAAGTGCCAGGGAAGAGGGCACTGCAGCATTTCAGGTCAGGTAAGCAAAGAGGGCCGCACTGAGAAGCTGGCGGTGGCCGGAGGACACAGGAGAGGGCAGAGAGGACATGAGGTGCAAAGGCTGCCCGGGGAAGGAGAGGAGGCAGCAGGGACTGGACCCCGAGGGCTGCCCTGACTCCATCCTCACTCACTCTGTGGCAGGGAGAAAGCGCTGGAAGAGCTGGAACAGGGAGCACGTGAGCCAGGGTGCGTTTCGGTAGGGTCACCTTGGCTGCTGTACTCAGAAGTGGGGGCCAGAGCAGAGCCCTTAGGAAGCCACAACGCCAGTGTAGGGGAGAGAGGGTGAAGTGAACCTTGAAGCAGCAGCCTTCTCCTGTCCACTGCTCCATTTTATCTCAGAATTTCACACGGTTCTCCCTTGGAAAGGACAACAAAATTCGAGAAATTTTTAAAAGAACAATCATCAAAACAGTGAAAGACCAGTTTTACTCGTCCGTGTTCAGCCTGCATGTCTCCTCTGAGCTGTGCCTTAACCTCGCTTCCTCCCATAGCACCCGATGGTCATGACAAGCAATGCTGCAAAGTGCACGTGGGCGTGTGTGTGCATGTGCAAGTGCACACGTGTGTTACATGCAATGACACTAACCTTGGAGACTGCTCTTCCCATCGTCTGCTGCCATTTCACTCTCTCTTCCAAGAAGCCGGAAGTTAAATCTCTTTCCTTCTTTGACCACAACTGCATCCTGTTCTCTCCCCTCCCCCTCAAGGTGCCAAGGTCTTCTGTCTTTTCAAAGTAGTCTCTCTCCCCCTTCCTTTCTCTGTCCCTCACACCAGTGTCTCCTTCTGTCACTGTCCTCAGGATGCTTGTGGTGGTACAGCCTTACGGGTGAGAGGTTCTTAGCGCTGTAGTAATTTTCTCACCTGTGATCAGCTTTCTCTAACGTCACCCAACTGTCCACCATACGGTTAAGATGTGTTTCCATGAGGCTGTTTCATAGTTAATAGCTCGTGTGGCCCTGAGAGGCTTCCCTGTGAATCCCAGGATCACTGTTCCCGCCTGCTCTTGCCTACTGACCCCATCCACAGAGCGGGGTGGCTCCCAGGCCCCTGGTACAGTGAGCCTTGACTGTTGTTGTTGTTATAAGGCAGACTTGGCATTGATTAAAGAACAGAACAAAACGCCGTGTCTTCCATCCATGTTGGAGATTACATGGGCTCTGTGGAACCATGGCAACC